AAGGCCTTATCGCCAGCTGGGTTGGCTCCCCAGCTTTAACAATAACTAGTTTCCTGGGGAGATTCTTACATGCGAACTGACATGCAGATTCTGACACCTCAGCGACTCATGCGGAGCACTGTGCCATTGCTGTTTGTCCATTTGGTCCTTAATTTCAGAGGTAGTGAGCAGGAAGTCTCTAGGGGGCATTTCAGGTCAATTTTAGACTGAAGGTCCAAAACAAGTATGTACAAGCACCTGTATATAATAGGGAGATGAAAGCACAAGGAAATCAAAGGGGGTTCGAATCGGAACAAAGGTGTTAGAACTGGGCAAGGGTGGACGATTCTGGAGGGGAACCGGAGACTTAGCAAGGAGGGACCTTGGCCTCAGCGACTCAAGCGGAGCGCTGTGCCATTGCTGTTTGTCCATTTGGTCCTTAATTTCATAGGGGGTGAGCAGGAAGTCTCTAGGGGGCATTTCAGGTCGATTTTAGACTAAGGCCTAAAACGAGTATGTACAAGCGCCGATATATATATGGAGAGGGTGAAAGCACAAGGAAACAAAGGGGGGTCCGAATCGGAATGAAGGCATCCAAACGGGAACAAAGGGATGACAGAAGCGGAGCAGTACCGAAGGTCATAGGGCTGAACCTGTGATACATCCAAAAGGAGAGAAGGAGGGCAAAGCCCAGAGGGGCAGGAGGATGAGGGGAAGTGGGGATGATGACTAACTGGCTAGAATGGGAAGAAGCAGCAGTCCAAATAGGGATGAGGGGGGAATGCGAAAGATACATTACAAGCGGCGAAAGTGCCAAAGATGATCTGTGGAGCTTGGAGGTTGTGGAGCTTGCTTACAGAGGTTACGGAGGCGGGGTTGAAAGTCCGAGGAATATTGGCAATGGTGTTTACGTAGTATGAGGTCACCAATGCAATGGACTAAAGCCGAGGTGGGGTCAAAGTCCGAGGTAGGAGCTATGACGGAGTCTCGGAGCGAAGGTACAAGGGGTGTCTGAGTACGAGGTATGGGACAGCGGCGGAAGGTTGCAACTTGGCAGAAGGTCGGCAGAAGAGGGCCAGAAGGAAGAGAGAGGAAAGATGAAAGGGGGGTGGAGTGGAGGAGAGGAAAGGTGTCAGGTCCGAAGGTGAGTATCGGAGCGGACAGGCAAAGGGTAGGAGAATGACAGAAGGGTGGAGGTGTTGTGAGGATGTAAGGGATTAACCTTACTTCACTATAATTCCGATTATAGTGATATTTATATTATGTTGCATCGCTATAATTCCCATTATAGTGATGCTGTTCTTTCTTTATTTATTTGTGCCGAGATATGTAAATTACATATATATACCTCGGAGTAGTTGTAAAGGCCTGGTAGCCTTTTACCTCTACCCCGTTGAATATACAGCACATTAAAGCTTATATTTAGACGGACCAACTGAGGCCTGAGGCGAATGGGGGAACGGAGCGTTACCATCCCCAAAATAGTAAGCAACCTTTCACTTTTTTAAGCTAGTTTCCTTTTACAATCTCGGCACCGCAACTGGTGACGGAACCCTGCTGTGTCCCACACGCGTTGTCTAGCCCGACAACACACATTTGCACCTAGTTCTCACACGCAAATCACGCGTGCACCGTTCCTAGACACACACTCACCTAGGCTGTGCCTCAGAGTAGAGGCAACCCCTCCCAATCTCAGGATCTGGGAAGCTACCATGACACCGGTGCCAGAACCCCATTTGGCAACCCATGCATCGTTGTCCCTGACAACACGCACATTCAATCAAGGTTCACACCGGAACCTTTGATCTCACTTCCTGATGCTCACAACCAGGAAGTTCCGGACTCGCACCTGCACAGCTGGCCCTCCCTCCAGTCCTATGGTGGGAGTCAACACCACTCCATCTGGAAGTGGTGATCTGGGCCCGTGAGGGCCCAGCAACGTGTCTCATACACATTGTACCATCTCAGGAGATGCTGAACCTGTTGCAGCATCTCAATCTCACTTGGTGTCTGTCCTACTGCCACCCTCGCATTCACCATCACGGGCCTGCTCTCCCTATTTCAAGAGCACATGAGTATTATGTGAACGCGTCAACAAAGTTAGAACCATGGACAAAAACGCGAGTTGACCCACCCATGGCCACTCAGGCCCGACTTCCCTTCCACCCAGTTTGGGACGGAATAACCATTCCTCTAATGCTGTAGAGTGTGACCGCACCGAGCCACCCAGCGCTTCGCTGTGTGGAAGTCTCATTGACTCTCTTGCCCCAGTGGGAGCCAAGTGTCGATCTAGCGACATTGTGAGGGCCCAAGCGACTTGTTTACCATCTGTTTTAGATGGGATCGGCAGCGCTTCAGCTGCTGCCAAGTGCCAGCTCATAGAGCTGCCCAGCGCTTCGGCAATTCCTGGGTTTGACAACCCAGATACTCCTTACACACTCCCAACCTCCTACTCATCCTGATCTGAGGGAGGATGGATTCGAGGGGCCTCAGAGGCTCTCTTCACGCCAAGAGGAGCGTTTTTCCTGGCACTTTTGAGTGCCAGGTCACCAGGATGCTCCGGACCACGGACCTGGTGGTTCATAATTCCCTACCCCTTCCGCGGAAAGGAGACCAACCCTTCCTAAGGAAAGGGTTCTCATCTATCGTGGTTATAGATGGAATCGGCAGCGCCGTACGAAGGTTCCCAGGCCGAGAAGCACCGGCATTAGCCGAGTACTCGATTTGGGGGACATCTATACCCCAGAGTTGAATGGTTCTCACGGGGGATAAGAGGGCTCAATCGAGTCAATACGTAGTGGAAGTCATAGAGGCTGGAGTCCTGCCTAGTGCGTTGTAACGCTGCATTGTAACGCGTTGGAACGGCGATTCCCGATTTCCGTCATACACTAGGCCGGTAACCAGCCTCGGACATCATAGGTATATGTGAGCGTTTCTACTTGGCTCCAGTCTTGCCGTGTAGGTCTACCCTGAATACTTAAGCGGTCCTCTTGAATTCGCATCCGTGGCCTTCAAGTTGTTCGTCTTCTTCTCTGCGAATATCTTACAGCGTGGTCCTTCTGTGGCAACGACTATGAAACAACAATCAGTAGATCATCGCTGTTGAGCAGTCCTATTGGCATCTGGCACATTCTTCATATCATTTACAGAACGTCGGTCACTCTAGGCCGTACTGGAGTTCCACACCGCGCCAACGAGTTGTTCTAAATAGCCTCGTATATTATCGCCTCGTACTTCTAGATATCCCTTACACCAGCAATGCCATCGATAACCTTTCCTTCGACTCTAGCCATCCATTGCTCAACACCTGCACCTCCATTGAGCACTATATCGCATCCTTCCATCCTTCCCGTGGCGAAATGCACGTCAAATGCACCCGCTCCGACAATTAACACGACCATCGACACCAGCAGACCCGAGTGCTTCGGCCGCAGAGTAATCACTTCACTCGAACCCGATTTCCCAACCATCTGCTTATCGTTTACGAATGACCTCTCGATCTCGCCTCGCTGATTACACAGACCTTACCGATATTGAGTCATCTATCTAATACAGAGATTGGGTCCTAATTGGGTGAAAACTTCTGTGTGGGGTTCTAGGATTATCTGCACGATATGGGTATAGGGAATGGAGGTGACATGGATGATGTACCTGCCACATCCTAATCTTTATTCTGGACACTGGCACTCTCTGCTATGTCTCCGTACTATCCCAACGCCAGCGCCTCCCCGCCCCCCTCGGGGAAAGAGGTCTAAAAAGGGGTAAGCATGTCAAGGAGAATCTAAAACGACACATCACCTTTCGGACGTTGTTCTGTGGCGCGCTTCTCATATCTGATCGGTCTTCTTTGGCTTGTTGGATGACTTCTCATGAGATGACGACGCTTCGATGTCTTGAGGGCCTGGACCTTGATCCTTCTTCCGGTGCGGAACCTCAGGTATTGTTGGTTGAGCAGTTGCTGCTCTGGGCTCTGGGTCATCAATTACTGTACGGTAAACAAAAATATAAGAGCGGGAACGCGTGCAGATCCGAGAGACTAATTATAATGACGCATGATCGGGGCGGCTGATGGACTTGTTCTTTATTGGCGTGGATTCTTCCTCTTCAGCTGCGTCTCCGGACGAAAGCAGCCCCACGTCTCTATATTACAAGACACAATTGCGAGAATGATGATCAAATGAGCTCATTCGGAGTACAGATAGATCCACTTTTTGCGCCTCCTCTCTGGCCAGCTGCTGCGCTCGCCTCCCCGCTTATGCGGAACACAATGTTATCAAATGGATTATCAGCAATCCGAATGGATTTTATCTTGGGTGGATATACTGGCCGCTTGTTCTTGTCAAGCTCTTCGCTTGTCCAAACGCCGGGCTAGAAGGTCATTGGATGCATCGTGAGTGTGAACACTCACAGCACTCCCCGATTTTGAGAACGTCTTGATGTGATAAACTTTCAATCTCCAAAGTCAGGAATGTTAGCATGGTCTTCTTTGTCTTTCGACGTCCTCACCTAAGGTAATGAAGAACTGACTATCATTTGACTTTTTCTGGCCGTTGTTGGCGATACCAAGTAGTCCACGGTGGGCAACGTGCAATCTAGGATGTAATTGATCATCCTCGAACCAATGGTCATAGAATCATTCTCCTCCGCCTCTCATTCTAGCTGTTTCCAGTCTGGACAAGGAATCTAGGGACTACTCTGTGGAAGTCGTAGTAACTCTTGTTATGTAGCACTCAGCAGGGACACTTGGATAACGGGGCAACACAACCAATTGACATTGTAACCGCACGGCGGTATAAGTAGCTAAAGATATCAGACAAAGATAAACAAATGAGATGCGCGTAGCGCTACATGTGGAACGGGAACAACAGTGAGATATGCAGCATATGGTCGAAAGGTTGATATCATATCATAACCGATATGGGCATGATGTGCGTACCGGCGCGTCGTCATGTCTTGCTCAACCAACAGTAACCTTGAAGATGTAGCGGGAGGCGACATGAGACATGGATGAACATCATGCAGTCGTTATTCGTGCCTTCCGTAACTAATGCCGTTCATGCGTAACTTGTGTAACTGCACTCGTGCTACCCTGCAATAAAACACAATGTTAAGCAGAAGCGCGGTAGTACACACACAGCTATCCAAAATGCGGGAGAAACGATGACCAAGACGGGGTCTGGTACAGATCAGGCGGAGGCGAACGCAAAGAACTGAAGGTGAGAACCAGGAGGATGACCCGCGCAGCAACGTAAACAGGTAGAATAAGTACTATCACAACCCCACTGGTGGCCAGAACATGACCCGCAACCAAATTGCCCAACATTATAACGATAGGAGCCACTGTAATATATATTGCTGCAACCCGCCATAGAATCATCTCCTTGTGGGTCGGAAAAGGAAATGACCATGCAAGGCAATGGATTCCCCCAAAGATCATCCCAGCGGCTGCAAATATGAACAAGGATTCCCTAAGCTCAGGCTCAGACACCTCCACGAGGGACATTGGATCTGCATCAGTCTCCGTTTTAGGTATTGGTTGATCGACATTTGTCTCGGAAGTCGGAGGAACCGAAGGGGACTCTTCCGTCACATGGATTGGGAATCGAATGTTAACGGGTTTATGCCACCACAACACATAAACAAAGAGGCTTAATGCTGCATACGCCAGCGTCATTGCCTCGAGTTGCGATCTGTGCAAATGGCGTGCCCATCGTCCGACATATTGAGTGATAAACCATAGTAATTGAAGGACAATGAGAAATTTGGAAAACGCATCGCCTTTGCTTCTGTCAAGAATTTCCATCTTTGTTATTGTGGCCTTTCTAGTATTCCCGGTCTTCTCAATTATGCTGGGGTATCGCTGCAAGTCGTTCGGGTCCACTGCTCCTCCTTTTGACGGGTCGAAGAAACCACCCATGGTGACAAAGTATGAATGCGTCAGGGCCCACCCTTGTGACAAGTACAAGTCAGTGCCTCGTCCCTTCCTAACTTGTGCATTTCTTCTTATTTTCAAGACGCACCTTCAACCATCTTGTATTTCTCTGATATTCTCCAAGACCACAAGAATTGGCGCCATGCCAACGCCAGAAATCCCTCCGGTGAAAGCAGTGAAACTATCATCAAGCCGACGCGCGATGTAATGGATAAGAAACCATCACCACGATAGTGCTTTGGTAGATTTGGGTGCACCGCCGTCCAAATGCAAGCAAACACGGTAAGGAGACAGCTATACACAATGCCCCACATCGTTCGGCAATTCCGGAGATCGTTGCAACCATCAGATACATTTTGCAGGAAAGAAGTCATATTGTGAGGGGGGATGGGCGCTGAATAAACATTGTGGGCAAGAAGGAGGTTGACAAGAGCGGTTGCCATCAGATCTGGTCGAGTGCAGGTACAAGCACACCAAATTCAGGTTGAGTACACTGTGGACTGGGGCACGTCCCTATGTCCAGCGGCGCTTTATCAGCCATGCGACCAAGCTGGTATATGATTCCAAATACAAATTACATTTAGCCTTTTCTGAAGTCAAGAGCTATGAAAACCATGCGGCGCAGATCCTTGGAAATGAAGGAACGTACGGCGTTGCAAGAAAAATGGCGCATGATTTGATCGAATATGTATATCGGAAGCATCTCAGCAGAAGTGCTTGATCGGCGCTACTGCTCCAATTTGGGTCTATCACCAGGCCCTATTCATCCGCGCTGATTTTTTTTTGCATGCCACTGCAATGAACTTTGGACTCTGCGTTTGAACTTACGTATAGAAGCAGAAACAGTCGATTCCATTGTTTATTAGTTTCTCGGGAACTGCCAGAGCAGCGGACGCGACTCTCATCACACGGGTTCTGGCCCTGAAAAGATGCACTAACTCAAGCAAATGGCGCCCTAGGCTTGGCAGCACCCGGTCGTAGCTCGGGTCAAGGCTCGAACTTAACGCCCGGTAAGTTGGACGCGAAGGGCTTAACCCTCGCAAACTAACTGCCCTATCAAATTGTATTGCTGATCTATCACTAGCTTCTACCGTTCCCGTAATGGCAGATGGCATGTGTACCTGTGTTTGCGCAGTCATGAAAATGAGGGTCAGTTCGGGCTGTTGGGTACCAGGGATATACTTAAATAGCGCCACGGGAAGCGTCCGTTAGCTTGGTCATCGCCAAGAAAGGGTGGTTGAGCATGAGTAGAAGCCAACAGAGTTCAGGTACTTATGAAGCCGAAATGGAGCACCGAGCCTTGCTGAAGGAACATATGATAAGCCCAATGCGGACGTAGCGCCCAGCGGTTACGCTCGAGTGGGATGTTGCGCGTTAGCAGCCTAGCACGGCGCACGAGTGCAGGCTGCTGGACGGCACTTACAATAGTCCTACCTGGCCAATGATATGGTGACACTACTGCGAACACGTCGTTGCTACTAGTCGACTGTTGATGCCAGGCTGGAATCTGCGACATGCGACATGCGCAGGAGGCAGTGAGAGGCCCGGCAGTTCTTGCAGTTTTCAGTGGCTTAAGGCACACGATACGAGGGGGTCCTTCCGTGGCCGTGCGTTCAGAGCCGACCGAAAGCGGCAACGCCAACTGGATATGGGTCTAAGAGGTTCTCCCTGCCGCGACGGATAATGGCGTAGATGGCGCTTACACATTTCGTTATCCTGCGTTGGCCTTTATCATTCTTCTGCGCCGACTTTCTTATTCACCTTCCATTTTCCTTCCTCCTCGATTGCAGGGTTTTATAGGTCGAGTGGCCTGCTTTCACCCCTTCAATGGATAATAGCGTAGATGGCGCTCACACGTTGCGTATCCTGCGTTGGGTCTTTTTCATTCTTCTGCACCTTCCTTCTTATCCACCTTCCACTTTCCTTTGCAGGGTTTCATAGGACGAGTGGCCTGCTTTCAACCTCCACCCATTTCAAGCGATAACGTTGGGGGGTCTCTAAACACGCGGTTCCCGCATGGGTGCCTAACGGTTTTAGCTCCTTTCGTTCCACAGAACTGGCGCGGTTCTCCAACAAATCAAGAGGCACGTAATTACGTCCGGCCAACAATTTTAGGAGCCGCCACACCCCTACCGCCGCGGTTCTCCAACGCATCAAGAGGCACGTTTATTGTCTGGCCAACAATGCTCGGAGCGAGCCGGCACCCGTATCACCTCCCCTCTGCTACTCCCCTCCAGAAACGGCCTCGGAATCACTGGATTCCGAAGCTAACAAATCATTATCACCTACTACTCGTGACCCAGTCAATATAAAATGGTATCATGGGGTTACCGTCCAACCTACCTTCTTAGATAGTATTCGAGCATTTGAGTGCATGCACCCGTGCACTGGTGCACTGAGAGAAAAATATGGTTGGGAAAATGGTTTACGGAGGCAAGGGGTGTCGATTCGGCCATTGCCGAACCCCAGGTCGGAGGGGGGTGGCACGACTGCTGTCCCATCTTATTTTCGGATACCATTTTAGATCAATTCATATGCTACATTTATGAGTCTAACTAAGAGAATTCAATGCTTTTTTACGCGCTTATTGGTGTGAACAATCTCATGTGACCCACAACTCCATCCAGGAGGAATGTATGAGCCGAGCCCTTGACATGCTTGGTGAAACTACATCAGGAAACCCCCAAGGCCAATTGAAGTGGTCGAGATCATTTCAACCTCACATGATTTACGATCACTTCAACTGGGTCCCCTGATTGTAATCACACCAATTATGGGGGTGATTGAGCTGATTCAGTGATTGTACGGTTGGTTGTATCGGCATGCTCTCACATTCTCTCCCACATTGAAGTTTATCAATAAAGTTATTATATTTGAACATTATGTTGCATACACACTTGGGAAAAGAACCCAGATACAAGTTATTACAGTAGTACCCAAACACAATGTAATGCAAAATGAAACACAAAATAAAGAGAAGAGGAAAGTGGATGAAAATACAATGTAATCAAAGAAAGCAGACGCACGCCTCAACTACTGAATCGTTTGGCACCAAACCCAGCATAAAGGTAGAGCTAGTTATCTTCTATCGAACAAGCCCAAGATCGTCAGAAATGGATGAACGGTTGTTGAGTACATGTGGTAAGAAGTTGGGGATAGTGTCGCATGTGAGAAGTTTGGTTGGAGGTTGGAAATGACATGGAAAAAAAATACAAAAATCATGGGAAGGGAGGGGGATGTATCGGAGGGTATTGGGGAAGGGTCAGGCAATCGTGGAATGGTGGTGGCTCATGTAAACAAGCACAAGAGGGTGGTTAGGTGGTCAGTTTAGCAACAAACACAGTGAACCGCCACACTTATGACTCGACATACAACACAGGGTAGTTTTGGGTGGCAAACCCACCCTCATTCTTTCTTTTTCAAGTAAGGAACATCTAAAAAACATTGCATTGTGAATGCAACTAAAAAAAAAAAAAAAAAGAGACACACATCATCATGTTTGTTCATGCAGTTCCCACAGCTCAGTTTGTTTGGATATTGTGAGTTGTTAATTTGATGTTGCATGTGAAGAGAGAGTGTAGTGGAGTAGTGGAGTGTGTGAGTTGGAGCAAAGAAAAAACTTCTAAGTTGCAAACCTGTTCATTTGAAACTGTACAGCACCTGGATGCAAATGACAGACTCACACACATGGATGTATCCATGTGTGGTTGTGGTGATTGAGATGATTGAGAGTAGTTGATTGGGCAGATTGGGCAGATTGAGTGATTGAATTGCTCTCAACCACTTCAATCGGCCTCAGGGGTTTCCTGATGTAAGGAGAATGTTAAGGCTTCGTTCGGTATGAAGAAACAGGCCTGTTTCTTCCAGTTTTTCAATTCAATATTCTCTCTCATTTCTTCTACCTAAAGAAACAGGAATAAACAGACCAAAGAAACCTGTTTCTCCATACCAAACGAAGCCTAAAGATACTCTGAAGGTACATGACAGATGTACAAACCCAAACTGTTTCACAACCAGTCCTATGACATTGAACAATGGTTGTGCCATCTGCGATTTCTTCCACAGTAATTTGTCTTGTACAACAAGCATGGAGAGTGGTGGTGTGCTTTGGTGCCCTGCACATTGGTCATCCACTGGCATATGTTGAAGTGGGGGCATTTGGGACCATATTTTTGACATCCTCTCTGGGTACCCATTGAGACGATTTAGACTGTGCCTCAAGGTCTGTAGATCTTGAAGTTCTAATTGATCAGTAGGGACCATCATACAGCAGAGGACTGCATTAGAATCACGGACCTTAGTGCAACTCGTGAGCTATGTGCATCTGAGATGTTAAAATGAGCCGGAAGTTGTTTCCTCCATCTCGTCTCTGCTCTGTTTGCTGTATGATGGCCATTCCAGACTACTTTGAGTCCCTCTGCCTCAATCAGTGACCTGGAATATGGATGAAGGCCTGATTGGGTAATGCTTGCTATGGTAATCAGTGTAATGGCAAATACCAATTGAATTAAATGGGGGGGGGGACAGTGCTCTCATATGTGCCAATTCCTAAAATTGGACATGAGGTACAGGATTCTGTCAGGGCACAGCCCTTGACCCCACTCACCCTCAGACACCCTCACCCTTTCCCTAACCACCCTCTCCCCACATTTCCCCATTCCCCCTATCCTTCCCCCCACTGTTTCACATAATGATGCGTGTGCGCGAACCCGTGGGAACATTCTGGGCGAGCAACTCGCCCAGAAATGTACAGCCACAACCGTGGGAATATTCTGGGCAAGCAGCTCACCCAGAACTTTCCCACGGGTCACACCCGTTATGGAAAGTCGGCAGCAAGCGGGAACTGTATAGTTCCTAGGGTCCTTTTGTGTCGGCCTCACAGGGGGCTGAGAAGCTTACCCTTCTCAGCTCATTCCCTGTGAAGGCTGAGGCTAGTCCCCTCAGCGACTTCGAGGAGTTAGCAGCTGGGGAGAGTACCCCAGCTTCCACACCCGGCCTCACCCTCCGGCCACTCCCAGCTGGGGTCTGGATCCTGACAGATTCAAAAAACTGACACCCCTTGTACAGAGGGGCCTGAATGGCCTGAGAAGCTCTGGGGTGCCCATTGAAGGAGAGAACAAAGGAAGGTCAGTTGGGAGGTTCTAATGAGACCACCACTAATCTGTTCCCTGGTTCTTTAGTTTGGATGGGGAAGTGTACTAGTAGATTTGTTGTAAATATAGTACTAATCCGAGTGTTTTGGCTAATTCTGTTTTATGGGTTAGTCTAAAAGTCTCTGAGAAATGACTTACAGGTGAACAAAGCCCTGCGGAGCTGTTCCTTTAGTGTAATTTCTCAATTTATCTAGGTATAATTCTGTGTAGGATCGTTAAATTTGGAATTTTAACCTGAAATCAATCTTCTACTTGGTGAATTTTCAAAGATTTAACTCCATCAATGGGTTTAGACTGTGTCTGAAGTGTCCCTTGGCCTTGTCTTATTTCTTTCTTATTTTTATTGCTTGTTTTAACAGTAGCAAAATAACTGTTTTGTTTACACTTTTGAAATCTGGAGTGTTAACCAGCTCTCCTGTTGAAACATTTACTTAATATTTCTCTCCCTGATTGCTGCCTTTTACTACAGTGGCAATCTTAACTGTATTTCACTTTTTCACACTGGAGTGATAACCAGAAATGCTTGAGAAAAATGATACTCTATTTTCTTACTTCTCTGAGGGGGGCATAAAGTTGCAGAAAGGGTCTCCCTTTTATACTCCTTGGGTTGCCTTCCTTTTTCACACTCTACCTCGTATTTACGGGATTTATTTACAGTGTATTTTCCTCAAACTGAATAAAA